ATGGTCATATTCGGAATCAGCATGGTCGATAACCTATAACCCACTAGATGTCGATCGAAAAGCGATTTATCACCTCGGGAGGTTCCCTCGTCAGACAATCTGACACCTTAGAATTCATTCGCAAATAGTTTCGGTCATTCCTTTAGACAGTTTTCTACAAAACGAGGTATACAGCCAAGGTTTTACGAAGTACTATCAAAAAATACCACAGAAAATACGATGCGGATCAAAAAATAACAGCGAAAAGAAATGCATCATTTTTTGCTCCTTTCGTTCTACTACATAAATCATGACATTTAAACATTTGTTAGCGATAAAGAAATTTTCTGTTATTCTTCGACATGTAGATACGTGTCTTCAAATGCATATGTTGTAGGGAAACTTAAAATTCAGTCAAATTTAAAATTAAACTTTAAGTTAGAATGTAGAGAATTCAAGTCGCAGAATTAAACTTTTAAGTTTGTCTACAACATATGCATTTGAAACGTATATTTAACGGGTGGCGCATAATAAACGGTTCAAATTTTTTTCTTATTTTTAGAACACTTCCGACGACCTACAAATCTGGTTTTAGCCTCATTCAATTGAGAATTGAAAGTCTCTACGAAATCTGCTATTTGAATCTCGGATAGTATTTTTCTCGTTTGAGCACCATTCAAAATATTGAATAGTGCCGAGTTCTCAAACTGCAACACACTGAAAACAGAAAAATATTTGCCTTGATCCAAAAACAGATTTCATAAGAATGTTGAAAACACCAGAAGATTCATTGGAAAATTCTGCATCTTCGCACATATTTTTCGAAATTTTACAGTTACGTCTTCTAGGAAAATTTCTCTTTGCAAAAAACTGTAAATTTAAAAAAACCTAACTTTTGAACCTATTTTTCATAGACTTTTTTGTCTGTAAAAGTAGTAAAACGTTCTGAATCAAGGATTTTAGCCCTGTTACCCTACACAGAATTAATTCAGCATCTTTTGATATATAAACAAAGTTTCTTAACTAAAATCATTAAATAAAAACATTAATTTAATTTGAAAAATTTGAACAGCTAGTTGAGAACTAGTAATGAGTCCAGTTGACATAGTGGAAACATTGTATGAACCTGTAAATGAGTGAGGTCGATAGAGCAAAAAATTCTTTATCTTTCTACCTAGAAAACGTAGCTATTGAACCTCAGATAATGGGCTAAAAATCTCAGACAAGGATACGATAACAAAAGCACATCACAGTTCGAGAACTTGGCACTATTCAATATTTTGAATGGTGCTCGAACGAGAAAAATACTATCAGAGATTCAAATAGCAGATTTTGTTCCAAAAATGAGAAAAAATTTTGAACCGTTTATTATGCGCCACCCGTTAGATATGCGTTTTCAAATGTATATGTTGTAGACAAACTTAAAATTTTAATTCTGTCTAGGCAGATTTTAAATTCGACTGAATTTTAAGTTTTCCAACAACACATGCATTTGAAAACGCGTATCCACAAGTGCAAGAATAACAGAAAACTTCTTAATTTCTATCTGTTTGATGCTGAGCTTTAACGATATATTCTACACGTCATACAAGCCTAGAATATATCCCGGGCAAGTGTTTTTCGTATAGTAAAGTATATAAATCATTCGATATATACTTGTGTACATCTCGTTTTTCTTCTTTAAACAATGCTTGTTTCTATTCTGCAGAAGATAGATCTATACTATAATTTAAAGTGTTCGTTTGTCTGTTTGCTCAGCTATACAAATCCACGTGCTTCATCCCAGAGCAAACAAATTTTACATGGGATCCACATTCATCCAGAGAAAGACTGTAGGCTATGTGCGATCCCAAAATCTCCATCCACAGGAGTACCCGGGTAACCGGCCCGGGCAACGCTGTGTAAATTTTCTAGTTAATAATAAATAATTCTCAGCATCGGCTATTTGCTGACGACACTTCTCTCTGTCATACAGTGATGATATGTTACTGCAACTAACATTATCAATGCTGATTTCATTAAAAATTAATTCATGATCTAAATTTTGGCAACTACTATTACATTCTAAAAAGTGTGTAGCAATATTAGTCGATCAAGTCTTAGGTACACTATGATTTTCCTCGATATATTCCTTCCTTCGATGAACATAAACATTTAGATGTGTATCACACAAAGACGATGGTTTGGTCAGTTTATGTACGATATGGTTTGAAAAACTGCTATATTTTCAGTATGTCTAGCCTGTGCACACTTCTGACACCATCCAGTCAAATTTCATCGCGCATACGATGTCAAAATTGTGGTATTCAAATGAATCAAGTCAGTTGGAAACAATGTGTAATATGCAAAAAGTTTAATTTATGTGATGAATGTGCATTGTCAGATGTTGAATTAGAATCTGAAGCAATTGTTTATCATACACAGTTACATAAGAATATTGGATACCATGAGTCTATCGGTTTGAGTGAATGTATGCAATGGACACAGGTCACGGAAGATCTTGAAGATGCAGAAACAAGAGTAAAAGAATTTTCTCGTATAATGAATGAGAATATAATTCGAAATGATTATGATATGTCTGTTGTTACTGCAACATTAAAGGAAATGGGAAATAGATCACAATCACCATCTGAACAACAAGAACGGCAACAATTGGCTTGCATGATCGTAGACTATCATACACAAGGATACGGAAGAAATATACGTGTATTGAGCTTAGATGGGGGTGGTAAATAGCATCAAAATCAATTTTCAATAGATGTACATATTTACTCTTGTGTTTTGTTATTTGTAGGTATACGTGGTTATATGCCCATTCAAATTCTTTCTCATGTAATAGCAAAGAAATATCTTCCAGATATACAATTTAATTCTGACAATTCAGAACATAGAGAACGATTTAAACAAGTTCAATCACAATTTACAAATCATTTTGATTATTTAGTAGGTACTAGTACTGGTGGACTTATTGCTTTTTGTTTGGCTGTTAACTATAGTATATTAGATATGAAAGATATATATTCAAATTCTTCTTACTACTTTAAACGTAATTGGCTTGGCCCCTTATTATCGGCCAAATATGATCCCAGTCGTATACACGCTAAAATTGATGAAATTATTGGTACAATTACACTAAAAAACGGCAAGCAATTATCAGCTGAAAATGCTACTTTACTTGATATACGTAATTTCTTAAATCCTGATCGTATGATTAATGATAATGAATTAACATCATTGTCTTTATCTCATGGAAATTTGTTAGAATTTGTTGATGATACTGAGCAATATGACAGTGGAACTTGCAATATCAAGGTTAATCGTGTTAAACGCGAAAAAGTATTGCTTATTGCTGCTTACAACTCAACAATAAGTAGTATTACCATGTTTAATACAAGTTATGCTGAACACTGGCACTATCGTATAGCAGATGTATTAAAGGCGACAATGGCTGCTCCTTCATATTTTCCACCACATAAATTACACAAAGGAAACGTTGAAAACGGTCATTTTGTACCAGATAAACATCATGAAATATTTATTGATGGTGGTGTATTCGCCAATGATCCAGAATTAATAGCATTATGGGCAATACGAATGCAGTGGAAAAAAATGGTCAATTATCATTTACTTTCTATAGGTACAGGACACTACGTTGAAGAAGTATCAGCACCAACCTGGGGTGGCTATTTAGGATGGATATTCAACAAAGGATTACTTATTACTACATTAATGGAAGCTACACGTAGTTTTACGGAAATAATTACAAATAATTTAGCTAAATTCAATGATATCAAACGGATGAAATTCAATTTTAGAATAAAAAGATCTATGGCTTTAGATGATCCAAGTTTTGTCTACGAATTTGATAAGGAATGGAAAATTTTGAAAAATGGAGAAGACTTTCAAACATTAATTGCTTTTTATAACAAGTATGTTGATATGGGACCAAATTAAATGGAAAAGTAATGAAAATGTTACACATGATCTTTAGGTGGCTGTTATATGATTCTTTCCATCAAACAGAGTTGAAAAATATTGGATCACCAATATATTTTAAATACCTGTAAACTGTGGAAGATTTGTCGAAGGATCTTTTTTCCTTTAATTTCTTACAGGAAAGGTGTAAAGTATTTTTCTTTGATATTTCACTTCTATTAACGGGCTGTTTATTGGAAAGAGTGTTTGGTTATTTTGTTGAAACTACTTTCATTTCCCACATTGGTGTAATAAACACTCGCGTCTGTTAATGTAACTGCTTATACACGAGAAAAAAAAATCCTGAAGTGAGCGTTCACAGCTAACTGACTCAATTTTCATCCCATCACAACTAGCTGTAAGAAACGCTTTGAGCACAGTTAGCTGATGCCGTTAAATCGGACGTTAAACGACCAGTTAAGCTACCACTGCATCGCCTGCTTGTAGCTAGTAGTGACAGGTACCCAACTGACTCAAAAATCGTCACCGGTTGAACTACACTGTTTACAGCTAGACTTTCTTGCTTACTCCTTTCTGCTTAGACGGTGTAGGTGGAAAATCGGATAAACAACGGATTGTAGTATTACGAAAGAATTACGTTGGTATCTGAGTTGAGAGTATAAGATTTTCGATTGAAATTTTTTAGCCTTTTTTCCGCTTAGGCGGCATAGATGATGATATAGCAGTAAAGTATGACCTTGTTTAATATTGTTGGCGATGTACCAGGTCATATATCACAAAAATAAAAGAACATCTTAAAATTTGTGAATATTGATGATATACATATTAAAAAAATGATTACAGTCTCTATATTTCACTATTTCTTTCAAACTCTAAAAATAGTTCACTCTTTTTTATTTTTAAATTTTTAGTTTTAGGGTATCCACGGATGCCACAAGTCTTTTATTTTTTTTTGTGATATCCTGCTTTCTTGAGTAAATAAAAATCTTATCTTATTCAGCGACCATGATAGATAGCCTATGCTAAAAATCTCTTCTCAGTATTTAAATGTCTTTCTATTTTTATTTATAACTATAAGAAAAAAGAATTAAATTATATTCCGCCTTAAGAACAGATGGCGCGGCACAATCAACTCTTATAAATGTACGAAAAGCTTCTAAGCCCCAAAAACATTTTAGTTCTACTTGTGTCAGGTGTGTAACCGGTATCAAAACTGCGATACCAGTAGCGGTCCACCAGTATACAAATTTTGTACCGGCACCGGCCGATATACCGGTGATCGGTATATCGATCGATACCGGCTTGTCTTGATCGTGTTTTGCATAAATCCAAACACGTTTTCCTTGTTTATCGAAATATGTCATAGATGAGCTGAATTTACACGATATTTTTCGCCAAATCGTATCATACTGCAAAATACCATTAATGTCGACCGATTGATTATACTTCATACTAATGCCGTTATACCAGTCGCCGTTATAACTCATGCCGGTATACGGGTCCCCGTTATAATTCATACCGGGGGAGAGAGCTTCACTGCACTGCTTTCACTGCGATTTTCTATTTTAGTTACTTTAAAAAACATAATTAGAGAGAATAACAGAGAACGAAATATAAAGAACAGAGAAACTGAAATGACTGATGTGACAACTGATGTTAATGAAATTGAAAAATTTTCTAGTCCAAAACACATTTTTCTTCCACTGCTGTAGCTTAGGGTGCTGAATCTGGATTTACGTTTGAAAAAAACGTGCAGTTGTCAATCTATAATCCAGAGACTATTCTCCCGTTTTCAGACGTTTTCTACGTAGCGTGGTTCGTTAGATCACGTCGTGCACATTTTGCAAAAAAGATGACTAAACAAAAAGTTTGCACAGCAAAAACTCATAATGTCTGTCGATATAACTTAAAAACTAGAATGCAAGAAAAGTAAAGCGAATCAGCATTGAAGATTCCGTGATTGGTGCAAATCAAATGGAGACAGATATTTTGAATGTAACATGACCAGTGCCTGATCAATCATCATCAATACATCTATCTGAGGCTGTATATTATACGACATTCTTTTGACTGATGATGTCATCATAGTTGACGTGGAGAACCATTCTTGTATTTACACCCAAATGTTTCATCGGAAAAGTAAAAATGACTCAGTTACTGATACAGCTCCTATTCATTTAATGAGTAAATGAATTTTTAAATGAGCAATCTGAATTAGTTACTGGTACTTAACTTTAACATTAAACAAATTATTAATTTACTTGAGCAAACAATCAGTCAACTGAGCAAACATAATAGTTACCGAACATTAAATTTTATACTGACAGTTTGATCTATTTACTGATAATTTGTATATAATACTGAGCAGGCATGGGCGAGGCCGGAGTGGAAGATTTTTTGGCGGAGTCGTACTGAACATTTTTTGAAGGACTCGAACTTGAGTTTTTGTATTTCGAGTCCGATCCCTAGTCGACTTTCATGCGGGGGCTTTCTTGCCCAAGATCTTGCGCAAGAAATGTCACAAGATCTTGCTTTCTTGGTGCAAGAAGTCTCTTTGATTTATGGTGACTATTCTTGCTTTTATTTCTTGCTTCCTTGCTTCCTTGCAGGGAATCAACTACCAGCAAGAATGGGCAAGAAACGTAATTCTTGCTCTTTTTATCCAACTACCCAGGTGAACTTACACGCTCTAAACTTGCCATGGCCACGCTAGATTTTCCACGGCAGGACACGTTATGTGGCCGTGGGTGTGGCCATGCGCGTGGCAAAGCCACATCACGTGGTTTTGTACGAGCTCGCCATGCCATGTGACTTGCTTTTCTGACCGTCCTAGAGAATGTCCAATTTGCCTGATCAGACCACTGGTTAGTAAACTGTAAGTTAATAAGTTTTTGTCCTGTTTTCTTGGTCAGAATCTGTTTTTTTTTCCTGACCAGTGAAAGAATCAAGAACAGGAGCTGCTTTTTCGATAGTCATCGCGCATTTAACTAATAACCTGGCGTTTAAAGTAACTATAGCTGTAGCATTTCAGGTTTGATTACATCATGTTTTACTCGGACTTTTCTTCGAGAACATGATGTAAACAGTTTTTGAGGTTTTTATCAGCCCCATGATCCGTTTAGGACCTCGCAATCTTTATCTGCAAATGAAAAAAGGCATGCTTTTACGGAACTTATACATCAAAGACAAAGGATTCAGTGCGAGTACACAGCAATTTTGGCTCTCTAATGCAAACCCTTCTTACGGTTTCTTGCCATAATGTTGAACTATTTTCGATCTGTTTTAAGTTAATAATAAGTCTGAGACTTCCAGTCAAGAAATTTTTTATCTTGGATGAAGTTTTCTATTCCGCTTCATGTGTTTCTCAATTATGGCTCGACATATAACGGGCATTTGATCTCAAAATAAAGGTGAGAGTAGTCGATGTTTTATGGTTCGCATGTGAATATTACCAGTAAGGTAACGTTTGCCGCATGTGAAGAAAGCATTCACGCTTGAACTTTCAGAGAATGTATACCCGTAGATATTATCGCTAGGATCAGTTCGTTATTAGAGCCAATCTAATATTCTGTGAATGAGGCGGAATGGCTGAGCCCCAATCCTCTGTGCATCAAACAGAACCGAACCGATCATTGCTACATCCTGAGAGCCACTAACAGCAAAGCGACCTTACACCGAAGGTACTCACAATCACTATAAAAAACATCAACCTTTAATGCATTTCTCACTTCTTGCATTTTTATTTTGAGGTCTTTGCACAGTCTATACGTTTAATTGAGCTTATACATCAAGGAAGTACTCATATCTGATGCACACTTCTTGAAAAAGGCCCATTTTTTATATCCAAGATAGCTAAAGGAAGACTGTTCAGCTTTGCGATAATAAGCGTGGCAAGAATTTAAGTCTCTCTACTCTCTCACTCACTGAAACTGCTGTACACTTCCCCTGTGAATTAATTACTTTTTTTTATGTACCTGTACGTTGAAAAAGTCAGAAAATGGAGATATAACCTGCAAAAAGTATAGAAATAGCTTGCACTCCATGTGAAGATAATAAGAAGTGTCGTGTATATATAACGAACACTTTTTTATATGTCTATTTTAGAATGAGAATATTGAAAACATATCTTCAATCACGCACGTGTCTGCCGTATAGTTTATACAAAATGTGGACTACATAAACTAGAAGAGAATTATCTATAGATATAAATGTTCACGTGGAAAGAACTTTAAATTACGCAAGAAGTTGCTTTTCTTCTCTTCTTTTCTTTGCTTTTTTTGTGTGCAAGCACTGCCTACAGAACGAAAGAACTTCTTGTAGGGACTTTATTCACTGCAAGAAACACATGCTATCGCTTTCATCCTTTAACACAAGATTGATATTTTTTACTGCAAGATCTTGTTTCTTGCAGTGAAGCTGGTTACAGCAAGAAGTGACAAGAAAAGTGTTCTTGTTTTCTTGCGCAAGAAAGATAGTTTCTTGTCACAAGAAAGTTTCATATATTTTTCTTGCGCAAGAAAAATACTTTCTTGAGGCAAGAAAGAGGCAAGAATGCGCAAGAAAGGATTCTTTGGGCAAGAAATGTCACAAGATCTTGCATTCTTGCTTAACAAGAACATCGACTAGGGATCTATTCAACTTTTAACGCAAATGAACAGAGAAACTGAAAAGCGTAATAACAACACCTTCTGTTTCACAAAAACTTGAAAATTTTGTTCGGGAGGCGGACATGCAAAGTAGCCTTATTTTCTAAAAATGAAATATCTATCCAGGGGTCAGTAAATTAAAAAAGAGAAATAAACCAGCTTCGTCAATAAAGAATGTAAAAAAAATACCGGACTTGAAATGGATTCGTCCTTAATGTTAAGGACTTGGACTTGCCCATGCCTAATACTGAGCAAATTATATTGAGCGTTCACAAAAAAATACTGAGCATTTAATTTGTTCTCTAAGTTTATTACTTTTATTTGTGTAATTATTCTCTGATCCCAGATCTACTTTGGAAACATTATATGCGATTGCTAAATTCCGAACCATACTTTTTCACATAGTACTCTTAAACCAATTTGATCTCGTTCTAAATGTTGTGTATTTGGTACACATCCAGGATCAACTTCAAGTTCGTGATCCGTTGAATTATTAACAACAATATCGATGACAAACTACTGTGCTTTTCGAATATTAAAGAAAAAACACGTTATTAAGAAAAACACAACTTTTGACGTACACTGTTAGTTCCGACGTACGCAGTTTGCATTTGTTTTATTATAAATAATAAACGTTGCAATTTCAAAGTCAGAATGGAATGAACTAGTGGAAAAATCAGGTGCTTATTCAATTATTAAAGTAAAACAATTGCTTGAAATGAAGAGACAAACAATTCTATTGAAGAAAAAACACGTCCTCTCCCAAAACGTTTGTCATTTTGGAGTACGAAAACTGACGTTAGCTTTATGCACCTCAAGATGAATTTTCTACAATCACTATTTATATAAGTGTGATGTGTTGTAGCTGGTAAATGTGTATCAGAAACTGCAAATCACGTTTTCATTATTGTTCTTGCTATGCACAACATTGAAAAGACTCTTGAGAAAATGATGTTCATCAGAAAGTGGTCACATTATAGTTTATTACCAACAAGAACAAAATGTTATTATTGCATATTAATAGCTATTCATTTTCATCGAATATTTTGTATGCTTATTTAAATCTATCGGTGATAGACGTACAGACCTGCAGGGCTGTGAGCAATCTACCTGTTAATCTCATAATAGTTGTTACAATGTAAGTAATACTGCTTCGTACATTTAGAGTATAAATGCATTCACTCGATCCGCATTGATCATAATACAACTCGTACGAAGCATTCCTGTTCCATTGTTCACCAAACAGCGCTTTCAACATTTGATCAATTGTCGAATACTCATTAAAGCCGCTAGGTATATATGAACTTAATGCTGTTATGCTTGTTACTGGGTCAGAGCCTGTCAAGTATGACATTAAGAGTTGAACATTGGTCTGATTATAGAAGAACGACAGGTCGGACTGTAACAGAGATTCGTTAACTGAACAGCCCGTGAGCAGACCCCAGACAAGAAATACAAATGAGGATGAACTTGAGTAAATTGCAGATGGTTGAGTACATGTCACAGTGTCGCGACATAAGCAACCATTAAATGTTTGATAATCGACTGTGATTAGATTGTCGGTCGTAATGTTCATTTTTTGACTTATTGATAGTGCTGATATAATGCTGATGTAACACATTTCCTTCAGTTGTATCTCGGATAATTTTGAAGGATTCATAAAAGCTGTTTGACGTAGTTGAAGTAAATACATTAATTATTGATTCTGTTTGATTGTCGAACAATTGCCAAGGTTGAACATCTGTTGTAATGTAGTTAGTTGAATTGAACTTAATTAGACCATCAGTAACAGTTACATTAGTTAGACCGCGCAGCTTAGATAGATAACATGTTAAATTGATATCCACCGGTTAATTGGAAATCTTGGTTGA